CGGCAACAAGGCGCATCTTCGCCCATTTACCCATCACTAAAATGATTTCAAGGCCATATTTACACGACCCCTGGCTGAGTGGCCAGCCAGGGGTCATGTCTGTGGTGATTGGCTGAATGTCCAATAATCACAGCACGCGTTAGACGGCGTCCAATGGAAGCGTCAGGACTTTCCGGACACCCTGTATATGCCCCCCCCCCCCCCAGCGGCTGGCGGGTGGCGCGGAGGCCCAGCGGCCGCCGGGTTGAGATCAAATGTTTAGTTTTCGAGGTATCAAGGGGGCCGAATCGGCCCCGTCACCAGTTAACGTAGTCCAGAAAGCCCATCAGCAATAGGGTTAAGACGACATTGTATTTGAAGTACACAAAATTGATGCAGGCTTAAAGCATGGATGAGATAATAATGGTTTGGTGTCTTCGCAGTTTTTGGCGACATTGAGCTCAGGCCTGCCATCTAGCGGGAGAATTATCGTAAGTTAGGAGCAAGCCGAGTAAACGCCGCTGATTAGCATTGTGACACACGGGAGTGTGGTGTAGTAGCAGGCTTGTTGTGCAATTTTTTCAAAAGGTCATGTCTTTATATGTCAGTAAAAGCGAAGAAATTCATAGATTTATGTGCAGGGTCAGTAATAAGATTAGCAGTTCCATGTTATTACCTCATTGAATCGTGAAACAGGGAGTTATTGGAGACTTCGCCAGCACGTGTCGTTTTCGCTATTTTTCACACGAGTCTTTAGGCCTGTACACATTCAGCTGTTGTGCTGTTGTCAGCCGAAATAGGCTCCACCCACCGTTTCTGGCTGACGGAGTTGTACAAATTCGGCTGATGAGAAATGTCAGCAGTGGCTGACTGTCTACAAATGTGGCTTTGTAAACAAATATATTGTCTCATATTCATGTTTTTTTATAAATACAATGTTTTGATAGCTAGGTATATTATCAGCATATTTACATATAAGATGCAATAGAAATATTTAGTCTTCTTACATTGATAGATAATTATGAAAAGAAAATTACGTGAAAAGCGTCAATACAGTGTCGAATTTTCATTTATCTGCAGAACTCAGTAAAAATGTGGCACGTGATTTGTTTACATGCGCCACTACCAGTGTCTAAATGCGTCATATATGGCTTCTGATGACGGCTCGGCATCTCTGCACTTGCTTTCTCCTAGCAGCACAGCTCGTCAGCCCATGCTGCCGTCAGCAGAGAGGTGACGTCATGTTGCAAGTGCAACATGACGTCATCAATTTTTCAGCCAATAGAGTGAGCGTTTCTCGGCTGACAACAGCACAGCAGCTGAATGTGTACAGGCCTTTTACTTGGCCTAAATCAAACAAATTGTCCGATCAAAGAACAAAACGAACGTAAGTACTATCTATAAGTCTAATGAAAAACTTAAACGGAATTGCTAACGTCATTGCCGTTCAATATGTCATTCAAGACGCTCTATGAAATGGACCCAACCAGTGCTGCGTAGTCGATGAAATTTCAGTGACTTTGGCTCCAACTCCGATTCCGGTATCCAAATATCGACTCCGACTCCTCCGGGCAGAACTGTCCATTCACACAGACTCCGACTCTGACTCCGACTCTGCAGCCCTAGTGAGTCTGTGGAGTCGATGACTTTTCGGTGACGTTCGACTCATAAAATCAACCGACTCCGAGTCGGAACAGAACCGCTGGCTCTGACTACAACTTCGCAGCCCTGGCCCAAGATAGTCGCCTAAAACAACTTTGATGTGTGATCTTCTTCGTACATTGTTAGGTAATGTTATTTTAAACAAGGGGTGGAAAAGGGAGACGAAGCCTTCACAAACAAGGATCTTCTGTTGCGAATCAATCAGCTGCTGGAACAGAAAGGCATATACACCACGCATCTCATTTCATCGTTTTCCTAACAGTTCTGCACCAATGTAAGCACTGATCATTGCAGTGCGAGCATCGATGTGACATTTGTGTACCAAGTTTGAGTGTTATCCGCCCAGCCGTTCTTGAGATATGGAATCGGCACCCCGCTACGTGCGCACGTGCTGTAGCACCCCCATAGTGACACTGGAAATGCATTGGCCACTGGGTGCCTAACTATTGACGAAGTTTTACTGTAATTGGCCCAGCCATTGCGGAGTTCCTTGATGTGGAACAATTTCGACACCCCTAAGTTGGCACGTGGCACGTGCCGTAACATTAACTAAGATGAAGAAAATAGGGCGAAATTCGGAGAAGAAGGAATAAGCCTACCAAATATGTAAGTGACATATTGACAATCTGCTGTACCATTGTGAGTAAATGACAATATAAAAGTTCGTACAAGCCGATGGGACTGGGCGCTTCAATACATACCGTCTTACACATTTCATTTTCGTTATTACCTAAAGGCTGCTTGACGTTTTTGGCTTACAAGCATTTAACCCGCACCCGGCTGGGGGTCCTGGATTTCCACGCCCTGCTGGGGGGGGGGGGTGTTTGAACACCCCCCCCCCACACTTCTAACTCGGCTCCTGGGCCACGTAGCGATACGCGGAAGGCGGCGTTCGAAAGAGCGCCAAAAATAATGACGAAATCACTTCAGTCACTTTTTTGGTCAGGTCAAAGGTCAAGTCACCAGAGGTCATTGAAGGCAAAATTTCGCCGATTTCAGGTCGAATGTCGACAATTTCCAGGAAGCCAACGCATAACTCGAAAACCAATAAAGCTACAGCGCCGCGAAAAAGCGCATTCGATAGCCCTATTAACGCCCTTTCTGAGCAATTCTCTCAGATTTGACCTAACGTCAACGGTTTTGCCTGCAGGGGGCAAAAACTGCAAAAATAGCCGATTTTTTCGAAAACAGTTTTTCTGCAATAACTTTTGACCCAAGCCTTGTACGAGCTTACTTTTACCGGCATCGTGTTCCTCTTGTCAAGACGCATCGAATGAACTATAACTTGACCTTGAAAGGTCAACTTGAAAATTTGACCTCAGGTCAAGGTCACCTGACCTGACCGGAAAGGGTCATGTTGCATATCAGTCGATCCGTATCGTCGAGCTGAGCACATATAAGGCGTTTTCACCTATCTAGCATGCCTCTATTAAAAGTTATTTGCGAAAAACTGTTAGACACCATTCGTGACCTGAGATGACCTCAGGGGCATAAATAGGGGTCACGGACACCATTTTCATGTTCAGTGTGTCTAAACCACTTGTAATTCAGTGTTTTGGAGTGTTTATAATGTCTTTCGTCCAAAAGAGGCGCATTTCAATTTTCTCCCATTGACTTATAATGGAGAGGTCGCAAAATTAACCTGACCTTAGGTCACGAATATCAAAATTCCGAGATATACATTTTATAGATACTGTTACCCTTATCAATCGCTGAAAGTTTCAGAGCGATCGGTCACTCGGTGTAGCTATGGCAGACATTGAAACTTTTTATGAGGTGAGGTCACTTCAAGTGACCTGGTGACCTGACCTTGAATGACCTTGGTCTGAAATTTTCACAACATGTGTAGAATTGATGTATATAAGGTGTACCAAGAACGGCGGCGCTCCGCGCCGTTTTTGAGATATTCGCGAAAAACCACAAGGGGGGTGTTACACCCCCCGCAGAGCGGGGGTTAACCCCCCCCCCCCCGCAGAGCGGGGGTTAACCCTCGCATGTGTAGGGGGGTCGGATTGACCCCCCCCCCCTGGTTTTTCGTGAATAACTCGCGTAAAAAGCGGCCGATCGCGACGAAACTTTCAGTACCCTCGCATTGATCAATTTTACACCTACCCTGAAAAGTTCATGACCCTGACTCCAATGACCTTTGACCTGTGACCTCTTTTCCGAGACCATGTTTGGCCGGAATCGCGATTCCGCGTATGTCGGCTCGCATTAGCCGCGCGTTTGCAAGCTTTCCGTGGTTTTAAACGTTCAAACATGTGATTTAACGCTGCTCCCATGCATTAGGGTGGGTGTCAAGGTCACCTGAAGGTCAGGTCAGGTCATTGACCTTTGGTGACCTCGGGTGACCTCGGTTCACTTTTTCGAGTTTTACATGTTTCTAGGATAGTTTTTGGAGCTGAATTCGAATTTAGCAACCATTTGAACATTTAAGAAGTAGTTTTGGTGACTTCGTAACATGTTACGAAGCTGTCAGAGGCGGTTGACACATACTACGAATACCCGTCACGACGCCTACAGGTTGACCTGACCTAACCTGACCCGACCTGGTCTAAATGCTTAAAGACATCATCTGTGATTAAAAATAACACGATATTCGTGATCAGCACCCCGCAAAACCCCTTAGCAGCCACATTTTACGACTTTCTAACAGGTCCCGATTTTCCCGACTTTGGGTCATTGACCTGACCTGGAATGTCAACCAATGACCTAGGACCTTAAAATTGGGAATCATCGGCTTCCTCTCGTCACGGGCAACACGCTCGTTTTTTCCGCGAAGCTCTAGCTCGATCAGGGGCCAAACGGCAAGAGGGGGTCCAGCCGACCCCCCCCCCCCCCCCTACACATTAGAAGCTGGCAAACGCCGGATACATGCGAGGGTTAAGACATTTTTTGTCGTCTCAGGTCCAGTAAGATTACCTCCAACTCGTGGGAATATGCACTTCGAGCCAACTAACACACCACACCCACGTGTGTCATAATGCTGAGAGATGGCGTTCACTCGGCTTGCTCCTAACTTACGATAATTCTCTCGCTAGATGGCAGGCCTGATCCCAATGTCGCGGATCCCAATGTTAATTTCCACGAGACACTAATCCAGTGTTATATCATCCATGCTTAAAGTATGAATTTGAACGTATTCAAATTTGCTTTTGTAGCATTGACAATGGATTTGAGCTATTCGAACTTCAGCTTGACTTAATGAAACTTGAGCCCGAAAAGGTGTATGTTGGCTTGCCGGCCAACGTGAACGGATAGATGACCCCCCCCCCCCCACCCCGCCCGCCTTCCTCGGCCAGTCACTTCTTGGACATTGCCAGCAGTTGGACGTGCCCCGACCCCAGTCGGCCGCTTACCTCTTGGACAGCGTCAGCGCCTGCGACTGCCGCCCGGAAAACAGCGGCTTGAGCCTGTCGGTGAAGCGCTGGTAGTTTTTCTCCAGCTCCTTCTGGTATTCGCTCTGGTCAGGCTTGATCAGTGTGCGGTTCTTTTTCAGCGCGTCCAGGCACCTGTGGCACGACCATGCCGGCCCAGCGGTCACCTCCACGCCACTATAGCCCAAAACTCGGCGCCAAGGGCTGAATTACATACATACATCGCATAAATACATACAGGGTGGCAGAGGTGGACTTTCGGGAGGGGGCGGGGTCGGGGGGTCAGCATCCTCCTGAAAACGAATTACTGCTCTGGTAAGTCAATGGTTCTTCATCCAGTCCGCCTCAATCTGCCCGGCCTCAGTCGGGGAAACTATGGTAAAATCTGCTATTTTTAGCAGTCTGCTATTTTTAGCAGAAATCTGCTAAAAATGGGTACGCATGTGACGTCATCGTACCCAAATATAGCAGATTTGTGTACGGCCCCATACAAAAGCAGATCTGCACCCTAATTGAAGCAAATGCGCATCAAATGCCTGGCAGATTCATGATGAGAATAGTGCTGAGAGTGTTCTCTGCTATTTTTGTTCAGATCCGACTATTTTCAAATTCATTATTTGAAAATAGTCGGATCTGAACAAAAATATCAGAGGACATACTCAGCACTATTCTAATCATGAATCTGCCAGGCATTTGATGCGCATTTGCTTCAGTTAGGGTGCAGATCTGCTTTTGTATGGGGCCGTACCCAAATCTGCTATATTTGGGTACGATGACGTCACATGCGTACCCATTTTTAGCAGATTTCTGCTAAAAATAGCAGACTGCTAAAAATAGCAGATTTTACCATAGTTTCCCCGACTGGCCTGGACCCCACCCCCCGAAATTTCGACAGATCTCCACCCCTGCAGGGCGAGGCAGAAAGATTTACCTCTTGATTTCTGAAATATTTCGGCCCCGAACAAAAATATCAAATTGATTTCTTGCACATATATACAGTAGCATGTCACGTACACATCTCAGCGACGGCATTATGACTCAATATGGTCACCTTTGTCCTTCACCACTGCCTCGAAATGTTCCTCTGCGGAGGGGCACGAGCGCCGCACGGTGTCCCCGCCAATATTCGACGATGCTCGCTCGGGGGCCAGCTTCAAAGCGGTGATTCTGCTGTGTGGCGCTGCACATTCCCTCCTCTCCAAGATGGTCAAACTAGCGAAGTCCATCGGGTTCAGGTCTTGGACTTGATGGTGGCCAAATGTCTTTGTCCCAGAACCCAGGCATGTGAGTCTTCCACCACGGTTGAGCGATGTTGGCCGTTTGCGACGGTACACCGTCCTGGACGAGATACGAGGGGGGCGAAAAATAGCCTCCCCCACCAGTAGCCTTTCTCATAAACATTTTTTTACTATTACTGGTGTATAGTAGAATAGTGATTTCAAGTTATCTTATCACTGTTGCCCTCTGTCTCATAAAAAACAATAGTGAAAAGTAATTAGTATCAGTATAACGCCTTTTGGGGCGACTAACGGAGCGAGCGAGAGGGTGGGCCTTGCACGTGCGAAATTGCGAGGGGGTACCTCCAACTGACTTGTGCACGGCACCCTACTAACCGGTCTCTAGCGATGTGCCAAATTTGAGCACAATCGGCCCAGCCGTTCTCGAGATCTGGAAGCGGCACCCCGCACGTGCGCACGTGCAAAATGGGTCCAAACGGACTTGTGCACGGCACCCTACTAGGTAACTGGTCCCTAACCGTGTACCAAATTTGAGCTATTTAAATTTACGATATTCAAACTCAGTTATCTGAGCTTAAATATCGTAAATTTAAAACCTAGCTTCAATAGACGCAACCAAGGGCAAGGACCGAACGTATGACGTCACGTTGACATCACTCAAGAGGCACGCTATTGGTCGGCCGATTCGTGTAATACAGTTGGCGAATACGCCGCCGGGGTCGGGTAGTAGATGCTCCTCGCCACTCAGTGTTTCCGTTGTTGGTGCTTCCATAATATTTCGCGCTGAAACAGGTTTATGATCCTCCGCTCCAATATCTTTTGGGTCCTTTGTAGTGAGTAGCTGCTTTTCCCTGGATGCCGCCGAAATTAGGTGCCGACGTTGCATCCGGTATGACCTGAAGCCCAAGTATCCTGACCGTTCTGGGCGAAACACTGAGGTCCCTTGGCAGTTTGCGCATGCTTCGCCTAGGACTTGAAACACCTTCTTGTGCAATTAACCAGCTCTTTTAAGCGGATATCCCCTATTCTGCGTGGGATGAACTTCGTCGACACTAACCCTGTCCGGGTTTAAACGTCTCAACCTGGGGCGCTCGTTAGCATAGACGGGAAACCGGCTGTTTCGTGTCAGAAGCCATGACAGAGACTGTCCTTGTTGGGCTTGAGAGCCCTCGATTATTATATGCTTGTGCCATATTTGTATGGATTGTCAATAAATGTTGGAAAAAATGACACTAACCCTGTCTTTTAAAGTCATCTAATTACACTGTTAACAGTTTTTACGGCAACACCGAGCTGTTTGGCAACGCTTCGGGAGCTGTGGCTAGCCTACTTCAGCGCCGCAATTTGAGCTCTTTTAGACATCTTCGCCATATCTCACTAACAACTGTTACACAATGTAAAAACGATCTTAATGTTGATACATGAGTCAGTACCTAGGGAAGCCGCATGCAAAATTTGATCAAAATCCGTTCCTAACTTTTTGAATTATGGACTGAAAGCAAACAGGTAAATCTGTCTACCCCACCCTGTACGATTCTAACACGGCGCTATCATAATGCAAAACAGAGTGACCAGAAGTACATATAATATACTCGATGACCCACACCGTCCCGCCAAACCCAGTACACTGACTTTTTTGAGAAATCCTTGAAGCAGATTTTGAGCTTGTTCTGCAGATCAGTGAGTTGCTGACCGAGAAAAAGCTCCGACAGGAACACGTGAGCCACTTCCATGGGGCCCTGGTTCACCGTGGTGCCTGTCCGGATGGGCCCGACAAGTCAGTCGACAGCAACCAGGTCAAACGTATCTCACACAGGCGCACGGCAGCACTCAACTGTTGCGCGAGTCAACTGTGACACACTGGCACTCACAGCACTGTCGTCCCGGCCCAAAGTTATAACATGCTACGCACCTCCAGCGCTGACTGGCTGGTTCAGCGGGAGATAACGACACATCCTGACGCCCGCGCCCATTGGCCTGCGCAGTCAGTGACGTCACATCCATCAGCTCATGGTAAGACGAGGCGAGGTCTACTCGCTAGTCCAGATACAGGTCAAGGGACTGCAGGCGCGCACACAGGATTTTTGAATGGGAGGGGGCACTACCTGCGAACTGGGCCCCCTTCCATGCCGAAGGGCCCCCCAAAAATAAAATAAGGTCTACGGGATTATATTTCGGTTGGCTTGAACTTTGAGCTTTTGTCAATGCATGGCAAAACAATGATTTCGCTACTAGCTTAATTTTCAAAACATTTATGATACTGTTAGGATTATGCAGCTGTTTAGTGCTCGCGTGGGCGTCACTTTCGGTGTTGTTTGCGCGAGCCTGGCGCAGCGTGGCTTTCTGCGTTGTGGCGAGTCTTTGTTCTGAAATGTAACGGAGTGGGCTACAATACATTTTGTTATCTTCTGAAGAGCAGCCTGTGTGGCACTGTGTGGGAATACTGTGTGGCAAGCCTGTGTGGCATCAGGAGTTTTAACCCTATTCCTGGCGGGCTCCGCCGGGACAAGAAACTGGCGGGGGGGGGGGGCCGATTCGGCCCCCCCCTGAGATCTCAAGAACGAAGCAAGATAGCGACAAGCGGTAAACGGCATCGGATACGCACGGCCAAGATCTACAATTTTTACTAAGGTCATTTTCAGGTCAGGTCAAAGATGACGTCACAGGGGTCGAAAAAGTCAAAATGGCGGCACTAGATATGGAGAGAGTTTTTCTCGAATAACTCTCGAATTAGTCAAGATAGGAACAAACTAAGGGCATCATCGTGATCCTCTCGTCAATCCGCATCGAATGATATATATGTTGACCTCGAAAGGTCAAGGTCAAAGGTTGACCTCAGGTCACGTGACCTCGAGGTCATCATGTATATCATTCGATGCGTCTTGACGAGCTGAACACAATGAGACCATCCACGCGTCTGTATCTTGTTCCTGTACGGAGTTATTGGCCAAAAACCTTTGGTGACCTTTGATGACGTCACATGACCTCACAGCTGCCCAACAGCAAAACAGACCTCAAGGTAGTGAAGGTTGATCGTATATGAAGTCATGTATGGTATATGGGGCCATTCCGACCCGTTTTAGTGGTAAAAACAGGGAGTTGATTTTTCCCCCATTGACTTATAATGGGGAGGTCGCGAAATTGACCTGACCTTAGGTCACCGATATCAAAATTCCGAGATATACAAATTGCACATACTGGTACCCTAACTAAACCCTGAAGAGAAGAAATTGATCGGTCAAAAACTCTAGCTCTGGCGTGATTGCAAACTTTTCTGAGGTAGCGTCACCAAACCGCCTCTGGTGACCTGACCTGAGGTCAGATCAACTCAAAATTTTCAGACATGTTGCGTAGAAGCCTTTTAGGAAAAGTCAGAAAATTTGAGCTTCCTAGCTCGACGCGTTTGGGAGATATAACCAAAAAACCTCAGGGGGGGCTCCTGAGGCCCCCCCCCCCGCCAGGAATAGGGTTAAGCCCAGAGTATAACAATCAGCGGTGGGATATAAAGACCTAAGAAGCCAAGTTATAAGAAGCTGAGTGCGCCAGATTTGTATCGCGGAATTTTCAAGTGCTAATCTGAAGATCAAGATGGCAATGTCATTAAAGCCACCAACCTTTGTGTATGAGGAACCGAGTCACTTTTTTGCACAATTCAAGAGGTTCTGTATAATTTCTGGACTCGCAGGTGTTGCTCAGCGTGAGTTGTTGCTCTTTGTGATTGGCGAATGTCCAAAAGCTGCTTGGATTGCGACAGAGTTGGAGTCTGAGCTGGCAGGAGTGGATCTGAAGGACACGGTCAGCAAGTCTGAAGCGCTGGTAATGAGACTTCTTCAACCTGAAGTGCTCAAGACACATGTGCTCCAAAGTCTAGAGGGGCGGAAGCTGAAACAAGGTGAGACCCCTCGAGAGTATGTCGAAAGCTTGAGAGGTCAACTAAAGCAGGCGTTGCCAGACTTATCTAAAGATTCTATGACTAGACTTCTGATTGTTCAGGCAATCAAGGGTGCTCCGCAGGCTTGGGCTCACAAGCTAGGTGATGAGGATTTCAAATCTGTGGATCAACTTGTGCAGCACATGACTTTACTTCAAGTGAACAGCCAGCCAGTTAGCAACCAGGTGGCATCTCGGAGAGTGTCTGAGCGCAAGTGCTACAAGTGTCGGAAACCAGGACACCTAGCCAGGGACTGTCGAGGTGATACCTCAGCTCAGAGATGTGGAAAGTGTACTCTGCACGGACACAGTGAAGAGCATTGTCGTACAACATGTCACAAATGCAAGAGAACTGGGCACATTGCCAAAAACTGTGCTTCAACCAGAAGAGTAACTGTGGGCAAAACACTGTCACTGGACATTGAGCTGAATGGACGTGCTGTAAAGGGAGTTTTAGATTGTGGCAGTGAGCGCACACTGGTGTCTGAAGCCACAGCAAGAGCAGCTGGTCTCGTGAGCAAAAACTGTGGTGTCAAAGTGACAGGAGCAGGCAAGGAAGCCTTGAAAGTAAGTGGATGTGCAGACTGTGACATCTCTGTCTCAGAAACAGGAGGAGTGGTCAATCTTGAAGTGCTTGTGGTAGCATGCAGTGACCAAGTGCTGTTGGGCACTGATTTCCTCAGAGCTGCAGAGGTTAGCATGGACTTTGCAACAGGAAAAGTGTCGTGTTTCGGAATTCCTGTGGATCAAGCCCCAGTCACAGTGTGTAGATGTGTGATAGAAGACATGTCTATGGAAGAAAGCTTCGTAGAAGAGGATGTGCCATATGCGAAGCCGCATGTCCAGTCAAAAGCAGAAGTGAAGCTCGACCATCTTGTTGAAGACAAAGCAGAGAAGGTGAAACAAGTACTTCAGAAGCATGATGTCTTCACGCGAGAAGGAATGGAGCTGGGTCAGGTGGATGCGGTCAAGCATGACATAGTGCTGTGTGAAGAACCGAAGAAGAAGAAGGTGTATCCTGTACCACCAGCTCTCCGTGAGGTAGTAGCAGAGCAAGTTGAAGATATGCTGAACAAAGGAGTGATCAGGGAGTGTCAGAGTCCCTACGCCAGTCCTATCCTGCTGGTGAAGAAGAAGGGGACTGATCAGTACAGATTTTGCACAGATTTCAGGGAGCTAAATCGGTGCACGATCAAGGATGCGTTCCCGTTGCCAAGGATCGAGTCACTTTTGGCTTCAATCGGTACGGAGAAGTGCTGGTTCAGCCAACTCGATCAAACCGCAGCCTATTGGCAAGTCAAGCTGGAAGAAGAGGCACAACTGAAGACCGCGTTCCTGACTGAAGAAGGACAATTCTGCTATCGAACACTCGCATTTGGTATGTGCAATGGTCCTGCCACATATCAACGTTTGATGACAAAAGTTCTGAAAGATTTGCTCTACAAGTCGGTGGTGGTATACTTGGATGATGTCCTGTTGTTTACCAAGACGTTTGAAGAGCATTTGGAGTTGTTGGATGAGGTCTGCAGCAGGATAGAGAAGTTCGGGATCCGGCTGAATCCTGAAAAATGTAGCTTCGCTCAGAAGGAAGTGAAGTTTCTGGCTCACATCATATCCGAAGGCAGCATTCGACCAACAGAGAACCACGTGGAAGCCATCAGCAAGTACAAGAAGCCAGAAACGAAGACCGAAGTACTCAGATTCCTGGGAATGGTCGGATACTTTCGACATCTCATACCGCACTTCGGTACAAGAGCAGCGCCACTCACTGATCTGACAAGAGGAGAGAAGTTTGAGTGGACCGAAGCAGCAGAAGTCAGCTTCAAAGACCTGTGTGAAGCTATCGCAAGTGATCCTGTTGTTCGACCTGCTGATCCGAACCTGTCGTTTCGTTTGACAACTGACGCCTGTTCCAGAGGCTGGGGAGCGACTCTCAGCCAGGTGGCGAACGCAGAGGAGTATGTTGTGGCGTACGCCTCGGGCAAGTGGACGTCTGCAGAAGAGAAGTAGGGGAGAGTGGGGCAAAGCGGCCACCCGGGGCAAAGCGGCCATCCATCGTTTTAGCCCTCCACAGCTGGCGTCAGTTCCAATTTATGATTTCCAATTATACTTCTCTTTGCGGTCGTTCGAATGAGCCAGACCGGGGTTTCAGGCCCATCGCCATTGTTCTGTGAAACACGGAAAAGCATTTCTTGCCAGGTTACCAATTATGTTTACAATTTTTAAATGTTATTTTATTCCATAACCGTTTGGAATTTTTATAAGCATTTTTGTCCATGCATTGCGTGGTTATCGTCTATGCCTTCTACCAATTTTAATGCTTTTTACCCCACTAATAGCTGAGCTGAAATATTTTTGTCTCGGACGGTAGCGCGGGGCAAAGCGGCCGGGGCAAAGTGGCCAGCCCCCAATTGGCCATAAGTTGTTTCCATCTGGATAAAAACATTATTTATATTCAAATGTGTCGTCATGCATTCATCTTGGCCACTTTTCGGTTACATGAGTTACCAAATTATGCAATTAAATGTTTTCCAAGAAAATTATCTCTTTGTTTAGCAATAGGTGGGAAGATAACAAAGTAAACATCCATCTTCCCTTAAACCTTGTCACCATCAAATACCCTAGTCGTGCATGAGGCAACTATTCTGTTTCTCATATCGGGACTTGAGAAGTCGCCAGTGGCCGCTTTGCCTCAGGGATGGGGCAAAGTGGCCAATATGCTATAGGTTTAAAGTTTTGTCAATATCTCCCATATGTGAACGCCTTTGGAAATGAAACGCAGTTGGAATAAAAGACAATTTAATAGGGATCACATTGGTATGGAAA